AAGCTGCAAAGCAGAATCACGGCGGTCGGTGTTTGCGAATGTCCCGAGAATTTGCTGCCGAAATTCCTCCCACGAAGACAGCGTTGACTCGCGGTTCTCGTACCACGTACGAGCGCTGTCTGCCAAAGCAAAGTAGACGCACGATAGCTTTTGTTCAGTTGGCCAGCGGTTGGCTTTGGCGACTCGCTCATACTGGGCTAACCAGTCCTCGACGTCTTTATAAACCTCACCGTAAAAGGTCTCAGGAATTAGAGGCTGATCAACAGTAAGCTGTGAAGGCCCTCCGGTAGCCATTTCTCCCGGTACGGTGTGTTGCTGGAGAAGTTCGAGCGGGATCGCCTCGGGGCTAAGGCCTCGCTGTCGGCGACTGTAGTGGTGGACAGGAGTATCCACTGCAGGAACGGATTGCGGTGGTGGACTCGATGTGCTATGGCGCCGAGGTGTCCCAAGCATCAGTTGGAGAAGTCCAGCAACTCCACCAATGTCGCTAGGTGAAAATAACAGAATACAGGACGACGGTGCGACCAGAAAAAACGAGGTCTGTATTAACAGAACAAAAGAGCAGCCGCTTCGACTTCTTCTTCCTCGGAGGAACCGTGGGTGCTGTCCACGCTCATCACTTCATCGTCCTCTGTCTTCTTGCCCGGCCTTTAGCCGTGACAATATTCAGCAGCACATCCCTGAGGGCTAGGGAGAAGGACTGTCGTCAGAGTGCAACCTCAAATAAATAAGGGATAAGCGTCCCAAAGTCTGAGAAAGCTGGTCAAGAAGAAGCATAAGAATGGGACGCATGTGTGTTATAGGCCACCAGACAGAAACCTTGATGGCTTCTTTTGTTTCTATGAGACGCTTTTACGTTTTTCGTTAGATAGTGCGTATTTTTTGGTATCGGGAGGGGACTCTAACATTGATATGTTATGCAATTCTACACCACAACAAACCATAAATGCAATTATTGCATCAAATGGCTTTAAAAATGTCATTAGTTCACCGACCAGGATTACAGAAAACGGTGCAACTTTACTAGATATGTTCATTACAAATGCCAACGACAATAACATTTTTGCAGGAGTTTTGTCTGAGAATATTAGCGACCATCTTCCTATCATTCTCTTTATTAAAAGAAGCACCTCACAGGAACGTAAGAAGCAGACGGTAACCATTCAAGATATCTCTGAATCTAACCTAACAGCTTTTAGAAACGAACTGCTTGGCAGTAGCCTTACTGAGATCCTTTTGATGAAAAACATGAACCAAGCTTACAATACATTCTTAGACAAAATCTTGGATATTTATAAACGTCACTTCCCCGAAAAACAAGTTCGTTTGAACAAGAGAATCCGTAAGCCTTGGATGACCCCGGACTTGCTCAACAATATTAAACATAAAAATGAACTTTAGCACAAATTTCTTGTGAATAAAAATTCTGACATTTTAAAAGAATACAAAGTATACAGAAATAGATTAAATAAGGAAATCAGCAAGTGCAGACTGCACTACATACATACCGAAATTGAAACCAGTGCAGATAAGACTCACGCCTTATGGACGAAGCTGAACTTATTTTTGAACTGTGGTACAGCACGGGCAAGTGTGCAGAATCTGACTATAAATGGGCGCAGCGTATAAGGAGCTAAACTTGCAAATATATTATCTATGACCACTTAGTCAATAATACGCATAATGAAACGTCTAGTGATTTTATTCAATTTCTACCAAATCCAAATTCATCCTCCATATTTTTTGAGCCTGTAGTGGACGAAGATGTTTACTCTGTTTTCTCGAAACTTAGAAATACATCATCTCGTGATGTTGATGGTATGCAGATTAGACCTATTAAATATGTGCTAGATATTCTTGTTCCTTATATCACTCACATATTCAATCTCTGTTTTTCAAGTGCAACGTTTACCGAAAGAATGCAGACAGCAAAAGTCAGTGTTTTGTTTAAAAAAGGCGACAAAAATGATATTCAAAACTACAGACCTATATCTATTCTTCCGGTGTTTTCGAAAGGTTTAGAAAAGCTTATGCACCGTCAACTGTACCAATTCTTAGAAAAACACAACGTGATTTCCCCAACTCAGTTTGGTTTTAGGAAACATCGATCTACGGAAATGGCATTATTAGGATTTATCGTGAACTTACTTACAGCGCAACACCAGAAAAAATACCGGACAGGGAAGGAGCAAAAGAGAAAGAAAAGACGGCGCTGACTCACAACTGTTGTTTATTGGAAAAAAACGGGGTGAAAAGTGTATATATAGGTACTGGCAGCCTACACCACAACATGCGCAGAATACGAGGTGCACCGAGGTAGCGTTATCACACTCATGGCAATAAACAAGATTGGCCTAAATAACTTGACTCTTTTTCATGCAGTGTGACAGATGGTTCACTAACGCACTTGCTCCCCCTAATCTTTATATGATATGCCTCAGCGATTTCTCTTGTTAGCTGGTTAGGATGCTTGAAGATGATGGTGGTTCTCTCAAAAATGGGACGACAACCGCATGACCTGCAATGTTCCGGCAGATGAAGTCGCGCGATTTCTTGAAGAGATAACTCATGCTCCTTTAAACGAACATTGACACATCGTTTCGTTTGTCCCACGTACTCTCTACCACACGATAATGGAGTTAAATACACAGATTTTTTTACGCATGCGATGTACTTGTTCTTATGATTCACCGCGCATCTCCCTTTGGCTTGTTTGTTCCTCAGCGCATGATCACGAATTTTTGATACACTTTTCACCGTTTTTTTTTCCAATAAACAACAGTTGTGAGTCAGCACCGTCTTTTCTTTCTCTTTTGCTCCTTCCCTGTCCTGTATTTTTTCTGGTGTTGCACTGTAAGTAAGTTCACGATGAATCCTAACCAACTGGCCCAACTTACCGTCTTCTGGCATTATTAGAACAAAAAGAGTACATATTATCTGAATTTGAAAACAAACGTGCTGTTCTCGGTATGTTTGTTGATTTTAGTAAAGCCTTTGACAACATTCAGCATTCCACTTCGTATGAAAAGTTGCAGTGCTATGGAATTCGTGGTCATGCACTAGACCTAATAAAAGGTTACCTTAAATATCGCAAACAGGTGGTTGAAATAGATAGAAAGTTCTCAAAAAATTCTCAGAGCTGAAGCCTATTACTAGGGGTGTACCTCAGGGAAGCATCCTTGAACCCCTTCTTTTTATAGCCTATTATATAAATGATTTAACTCGTATTTATCCAGATGCTAAATACGTCTTATATGCCGATGATGTCAGCATGTTTGTTTCAGCTGAAAATAGTATCACGCTTGAGGAAAAAATGAACCATTTTCTTGTGAAACTAAAGCTCTGGTTGTGCTGTAATAATTTAAACATAAGCACTAGTAAAACAAAGGCGGTACTATTCCGACCTAAAAATAAGCCTGTTAATGAAAACATACATCTCAAGTATGGCGATACTTATATTGAGCTTGTAAATAGTATAAAAATTCTTGGAGTTACATTTTCGAGCAATATGCTTTTCACTTTCTATTCACATCTTACCAAATCACTTTTCTATTCACATCTTACCTATTGTTTCTTGGTATGGGGGACTACCACTTACACGAACTTGCAAAAACTGTACCTGATGCAAAAGAAGTATATTAGAATAATTTTTAACTTGCCGTATGATGCCCGCACAAGCGAATTGTTTCAACGGGCTGGAATACTACCCGTACATCGTTTCTACAATTTTAAGTTAGAATTGGCAATCAGGCATGAATTGAAAGAAAGTCGACATTTTTTGCATGACTTCTCAAAACTGCAGCCAAATATTACATTGTTTGAAACACGAAATAAATAAACATGGAAAATAAAAACTTTGAGAACAAACTACTCCACAGATAAGTTATCCTACATAGTTCCTAAGTTACTTAATAAATATGTGAAAGCTGGCATAGATTTTTTACACTGTACATAGATTCAATTGCGCGATATACACATGATTAGTTTTTAAGATTTCTTTGCAGTTGCTGTATTATCATGGTCGCTGTTTTTATTTTTGGAATTTGGACTTGATTTTTATATCTTTATTTATCTTTATTTATTTATCTATTTTGGTATTGTTGTTATTGTTATTGACTTCACGTTGCTGATTGTTTGCCACTGCTGTCATGCTAAAAGGTAGCTGTGGGCCTTCGTCAAGCTGCCTCTTTTGGAGAGCAGCTTTTACCTGCAGCTGTCCTTCATCAAACTATTGATGAAAAATAAACATTAATATTATTATTATTATTATCCAGATTGTGCTCCTGGTGCATCTTCATAAGATTTTATTAGTATTTGCTTCAATAGAGGTGTTTTGAATCGTTTTTCCTCGTTTTCTCGAAACATCAATTTTAGCAAATTTGCCAAGTTAGAGGGAAAATAACTTCTGTTTTATTCAAGCTATCAGCATAATTCTTTTTTTTTTCCTGAAAGATAAATGCATGCAGTATGCAATATGCCTGTTTTGAAGGCAATATAGAGATAAAAAATATTTAATTGGGTCACATGCGTGACAGGTGAAGGTGGATTTTTTTTCTCTGAACATTGATGTCTTCTAACTCTTGTTGAAATCGGCCCAGCAAATTGATTTATAGCATATTGCATCCTACATTGTTTTTACACTGTTGCCAATGTTTTGGTGCTTCCTGCTTAGATGCTAATTAGGCTGCAAACAAAGGACCCAGGTTTTACATTTATTGTGGAGTATCTTGGAAACTACTTGACCCATCAAAAATGTAATTCCATATTTAGAATCTGCACATCTAAATACACAAACTGTGAAAATTTTGTTCAGATCTATACATAAATTTAAAAAGTTGCCCATCAACTGTAGCCTCCCCCCTTAAATCAGTTGGCTTTATTGCTTTTGCTCTGTGGTGCAGGATGCATAACCCTTTTTTGTAATGATGCATAAACCTTTTTTGTAATGATGAATATTGGATGTGCAAGTGCTTAACAAAGTTACATATTTTTTCCCATAGGTTTTGGAAGAAAGCTGGTTACATTCCTGTGTACCTCAGACAAACCCCTGTGAGTACATCAGTGCCAACTTTTCAATTGCTCTTTAATGGCTCAGATCATTGTGTCGCTTAAAATCAATGTTATCAGATCTTGTAGCACATGGGAAGATATTAAAAATGGAGATTTTTATATGATATGTAGTGAGAAGTGAAGATTTCATAGCTCAGATGTATAATGACTGCGACTTCTGGCGTTTCTTCGGTATCATTTTGAATTCAGTCAAGTTGTGCAAGTTAAAAGCGCACTAAGGTTGGCCTTCTGGCTGCATCAGTGAAATAAGAGTAGCACATGAGATCGGCTGAAATTTCACAAAGAAGCTGTTCTTAAACTTTGAGCTACTCCTTGAACTGTTTCCTCTTGTTTTATTTTTACTTGGCTATTCAAGTTTCTCATCCCTATTCATCTTATGGCACACATCTAACTAACTAAATTTTGTTTCTATAAAATTGCGCTTAGAAACCAACCTAAACAGTATGGTATATTGGACTACGTAAAGTTAAGATAGTTTACGTACAGAGGTGTCTCCAAGCAAGATTTTATATTTAGGACTAAAATAAAACTGTACGGGTAGTGAAAACTTTAGCATAAACCGGTGTTATTTGAAAAGAAAGAAGCCTCATTATAAATATTTCTTTGAAAGTATAAAGTCCTGATGCTAATAATTTAAAACCAAGTTAGTCAATGTTAAAATTTGTTGTGAACTGCGTTTTGAGACTGCGCTTTCTCACTGTACAAATGGTTCCGAATTCTTCAAGGGCCCGTAAACCACCCAGAGGTCGAAATTTAGTTGTGGTGTCACAGTTTCGCATGACTCTACAGTGAACACGTAGCCTTAAGAACTTTTTGAAACAGTGCCATAATAGTAGAGTTACATGCGTTTGACGATACAAAGGAGGCTCTCACTCACTTTGCTATTTCCTTCACTCGTCGGCTCGTCTCTTCTCCTGGCCGAGTGTTCCAGTCTCGTCGTGCAAGGAGGAAGAACAGCAAGCGCGCTTACCTGAAAAGTTGTAGATGACAAGCAGACATGTTGACGTCACGGCAAACATTGAGGGGATGAGAAATGCCGAAAGGCACGGAGTCTCTTAAGAGAAGATATTGTTCCTTGGAATTTGTGGAGCGCTCGCAACTCGTAGCACGATGGCATTTGGCAATACAGTGAAAGCTCGTTAATTCGAACCGCAAGGGAAGCAGCCTCAGTTCGAATTAACAAAAGTTCGAACTAACGAAAGTGAAGAACAACAGTACACTGTGACTCGGTAGGGCATAACAATTTATTTTTTGAAAAAAATCGGTGATCGCGGTCTGTCTTCTTTCCTTGAATGGCGACAGCCAGCACTGTTTGCTCTAATGAGCGAATTTGGCGGCAGGCCCCTTCTCCGCCTTCTTCAAAACTTAAGAGACGACTGGCGACATTCAAGTCCGGCCATGACTTCCGCAGCAGAGGGCCGCACTGGTGCTTCGTCCCATCCTCATCGTCGTTACTGGCAGCGACAGGTTCTGCACTTCTCACCTGAAATATTATGCCGTCATCCGTGAGTGCACCACACACCTGCTGCACTTGAGTCCACATCGACGTAGTCCGCAAAGCAGACGTCTTCCAAAACATCTGGCATGGGGGCGGTGACGCCGTGTTCGAGCACTGGTGGCTCGTCAACTTGCAGAACTTCGGGGCTGATACCACAGGGGCGATAGCAATTTGCTATTGTAAGCGCTGTCACTTGCTCCTAAGCACGCCTAAGCATGTGTAGTGTACTTAGGAGCGTCACTTAGTAGTTATTGCACAAAATAATTCGTTCCAACATATGATGCTGATAAAATGATTTTAAATTTCTAATTAAACCCTGGTCCATGGGCTGCAGTACCGCTGTCGTTTTTGCTGGAAGCAAGGCCAGTTCAATGGCCTTCGTCTCAATGCTGACTTTATGAGCCTAACAGTTTCCACAAGAAGCAGTGCTTAGCGGCCGCAGCGCTCGAACTTCTTGTCAAGCTTCCCTAGCCACTGCACGAACAATTTCCCCGACATCCAGGTCTTTTTGTTGGCCGCGTAGTCTGATGGGAGAGACCGGATGTTCTTGAAGCAACGAGGACTTCTCGATTTGCCTATCACGAACATAAGCATCGTCTCGGTCCCGGTCATGTTTGCAGCCACCATCACAGTTATCCGTTCTTTACTTTTTTTCTCTGCCGTGCACTTGTCGCCTTTATACGTGATAGTTCTGGCGGGTAGCAATTTGAAAAATAAGACAGTTTCATCCGCATGAAAGATGTCCTGCAGAGAATACTTTTCCATGTAGCCTTAAAGCACTTCAGAGCGCCAACCTTCACTCATTTTCATGTTGACGGCATTCATTTCACCCGACACAGCACGGAAAACGAAGTCGTAACGTTCTCGAAAACAGTGCACCTACCCATCTGAAGCCGCGAAGTCGTGGTAGTCCAGCTGCAGGGCATAGTCCGCTGTCTTTGCCAGTATGACTGGACCACTCAGTGGTATGTCCTGCGAACGCATTTCCTTTATCCAAATGAGAAGCGCTTTCTCGAGGTCAGAATACTTTGGGGGCCGCAACCTCCTCCTTTTGCTCGCAACTTCTGCCTATAAGGTGTCTTCAATAACCCTCCTATTTTTTATACAAGTAGATAGCGTCGTTTTCAGTATACAGTGAAAGCTCGTTAATTCACACGTCATTAATTCGAAATTTTGGATAATTCGAAATGGTCGTTGCAGTCCGGTCCGCAGTGCATGGGAGACCATGTGTAAAACGATTCGTTAATTCGAACAGAAATTGCTGCCTCTACGGATAATTCGAAACGCGCGCCGCCGAGCGTCATCATCGTCAAACACTTGTGGAAGCTTTTACGGTCGAACGATAGGTGGCACGACCAATTCTTTCGAGCTTCAAGTGGCCTCCGAGCAAAGTATGGCCTCCGAAATCCGGGGAGCAATTTTTTTTTTCGTAGCCCTCCCGCTATCTCAGCGCCTGGCGCCACTTGTACGCGGGACCCACGGGACGCTGAGAAGTCGGCGGAGTAGTCCTAGCAGTCCTAGGCCGCTCCCGGCAGTGTCACTTTGTTCCTCGAGCACGTTGTTCGTTCACGAATGATTTTGTGCGCGGGCGACAGGAAGGACTTCGGCATTACGCTGCTCACTGCCATGCACATGTTGGTGCGCGCATGGAAACAGGTGACCGCGACCACAATCGCAAACTGTTTCCGTCACAGTGGATTTGCAGCTGGAAGTGCGCAGGATAGTTGTGACGTCGACGTGGATGGGGCTGAGGAGCTCATGCCAGTGACATTGCGCGACACTCTTCGGGGCGTACGTTTTGCCGATTATGTTGAAGTTGACACCGGTGCATCAGTGTGTGGTGCCCTGACTGATGAGGACATTATCGCTCAAGTAGCCGGTGCGCAGCCTGATGCTGAAGAGCCAGAAGGTGAGGAAGACGAAAATGACGAAGCGCCTGTGCGCCCGTCAGCTTCTGCGGTGATGGAGGCACTTAATGTGGCTTAATGTTTCTTCAGCTTTGAAGCGGGTGAAGAGGATTCCCTGCGCCGCGTCCGCGCGCTGGAACAGGGAGCCGCAGCTGTGGCATTCAGAGAAAAGAAGCAGATGGTCATCACCGACTTTTTTGGCCAATAAATAATTTCCGTGCCCCCACCCCCGAAATCCACCCATTTTTGCTAACTTTCATTATTTCGAATTTCGTTTAATTCGAAATTGCTCAGCATTCCCGTGGAATTCGAACTAACGAGCTTTTACTGTACCATGCTTTTTGGCGATTTGTTGCTTAGGCAAGGGTCTGGCGTCCACTTCCCGCAGGATATCAGCTTTCTCTTGAAGTGTTTTGGCATGGTATTCGCCGCGGGCACACGCCAAGTCGCAGCAGCAGAATTGCGACAGACGGAAGCTGCTTCCGGCGCTACCACAGCAAACATTAGTTGAGGCCTAACACCAACACAAAAAATCGCGACAGTCAGAAGCTACTCCCTGTGCCAATAACCGAAGCGTACGACGCACGCCCGAGACGGAGACTGCAGAGATATAGGCTGGGCAAAGCAACGACGCATCGGATTTGCTGTGTGCTGGTAATGCCATCTGTCGCTTAACAGCAGCAACTACTGCAGGATTTGCAAAGGCTTCGATATCGGCGCTAAAAAAACAAAAAAGCTTGGAGGTTACGTAGGACGAAGAGCAGGCAGCCGCCGAGAGAGAGAGGTTGTGGGGAGGTGGGTGAAGAGTAAGAGGCGCTATTTTCTGCACTCTGGCCTCTGTGCCAGTTTCTCTCTCCGTTTTTTTCTCCCCTCCCTGTCAACGCCGCCTTGTAACTCGGCAGCTGCCCTATCGACTGACTAGCCAAGCCGCAGGTGCGGTGGCGCGTAGTTAGAATTATCCGACGCGGAGCCTACTCGTGTTCGAATTAATGGGCTTTTCTATCGATAGGCTTGTATGGAGCTTGGCTGGACCATAACTTACAGTTCGAATTATCCATAAATTCGTTATTGAAGTTCGAATTAATGAGCTTTCACTGTAGTGATTGCAATGGCGTTGTGATACTGATGTGTGTGTTTACTAGTGATGTTAAAAAATTATCGGAGGTGGTTTAGGGGCCCTTTTAAGTCACATGCTTGTAGCTCACGTCTCTCATTTCTTTTATGACCTGCCTTGACGTTCAGAACGACCTGACAGGGGAGCACTCGTGCATCATGCTCAAGTGCCTGCAAGAAAGTGCTCAGTGGTTGCCAGAACTGTGGAAAGACTTCAAGCGCCGCTTCCTCTTTCTCCTTGGCTACCAGTTCCGAGAGCTGGCACCAGCCACTGCTCTTAGTGTTCTGCGAAACCCTGTTGATGACGCCATTACAGCATCCGGTAGGTCTTTCTAGAATGAATTCGTCAAAAGCTGCCCTTAATTTTCCAGTGTAGGTAACTTCTGCTGTTCATGCTCTTGCCCATCTAGCTCACTGTAGTGGGGGTTTCTCTTGTCTCTTTGTCAGCTTCAACACGAAACACAGATTTCTGTGTCCCTAAATTACAGCAGAAGCTTGTGTTGTGCACTTTGCATTTATAAAATATGAAGAGGGAGCCCGCCAACATTATAGATGGTCAAGGGATCGAGGCTGGTCAGAAATGTGTACAAAGCTAACCAGCCGTCATTCTCCCATTTTTGTACATACACTGAAACCTCGATATAACGAAAAATCGGTTATAATGAAGTAAATGAAGAATATTCTTGCAATAAACATAGTGGTAAAAATATACCTTTATAACGAATTTTTAGATATAACAAAGTTATTTTCATGTAAGATACAACCTTGTTATAATGAGGTTTGAGTGCAATTTTATGTTATGCAGACATGCACATAAATCTTAGTGCGTGTCAAAAAACCCCAGATTGTAAAAGTTATCGTAAGTACTCTTCTACTGCATGCTTCATAATCATATTGTAGTTCGGGCACATCAGCTTTTAGAATTGACCATTTCTTTTTTTTTTGTGCTTTTATGCTGTTATCTTGCAGCTCTGACTCTTGAAGAAGTGGAGCGTCTCTTCTCGGTGTATGACATCAAACGACTGGAGTTGTACTCGCAGAACCTGGTAGATCACCACCTCATCACCGATCTGCTTCCAACGCTGGCACAACAGTATTTCCTCAAGACTCTTGGTGACATGCACCTCTCAGCTGTACAGTCCGTGAGTGCAGATTTTACACTTGGTACTCGCCAGAAGGTTCTTGAATGTCACTGTCTAGTTTGGTGTATGCATGTGCCTGCCTAGTAGTATGTTTTTTATTACCATATTTCAAAGTGTGATTAGCTAACTGTGCTTTACTGGTTGGTATTAATTTCTGTAGCAGGTGCCACTATGTTGACCATCAAAACTGAATATAATGGCCACGTAAATCCACCAAACTGCTCATTTGTTTGTTTCTGTCTGGCACAAGGAACTTGAGCTTACGAATTCAGGAATGCTAGCAGGCCAGCCTATCTTGCCACTAACTTCATTTGTGGTCTACATTGCACATTTGGAGGCTGTGTTAGTCACTGGTTATTTAGCTGTAGTGAGAACTCCAGCACTATGTCGACCAATCACTTGAGCATACGAGTGACAAGAAAAGAAATCAATGAAGTTTCAATCATGATATTACGAGTGACACACTAAATAGTATAGAGCGTAAATTTTAAAATTTTTTCGTTGGAATATCGGTGAATACTGATAAATGTTGAATGCTCCCTCTCATGCTTGGTGCACTGTTGCAAGGTAAAAACATGCCTTATCATGCATGGGTGCTTACTCGAGACATTCAGTGAAAAACTCCATTCGCATGTGTTTCTCTGATTGGATAGGCTTCAGCGTGATTCAGACGAAGACCATAGGAGACAACCAGAACACAGACGAGCCTTGTGTTCTGTGTGTCTCCTATGGTCTTCATCCAAATCGTGCTGACGCCTATCCAATTATGTACCAACTCAGCCAAGTCAAAGTGCTTTCGGAACAGATTTCTCTGATTGGTACAGGCCATTCTGCTGAGCCTGGGGCTTCAACACAGCACTGCAGATGCCTTGGCCAAAGTGCTAGATCTACCGTGTACCCAGCTGCTGGGCCTCTTCAACAGGGTGATGCGGAAGTGCTCCCAGTTCCTGCGTGGTGTGTTGGAGAAGACTCTCGATGAAGCACTGCCGCGTACTACAGGCGCTGCTGCCAACCTGCAGCCTGTGCTGCAGTCCCTCAATGAAGAACTTGTGAGTGGTGACCCTCGCGGCAGGGCATTGACAGCTTGCGGTTTTTCGGAAGGCTTTTTGTACAACAATATTTACCTTTTTGCAGTTTTCATTAGTGTTTATCATTAAGAGATGATGCTTCTCAAAAGTGACTGATAATTAAAGGGCTGTTAGGTTTTTTAGAGTGCTTAGTTATGTGGATCTTGCAAATAGAGTTCACTTCTGTCTTTATTTTTTATAGAAGTATATAATTATTAGATAACTTCCAGACCAGTAGGGGTTTACAAAAAAAAGTGTTTGTCTCGAGAACTTTACACCCAAATATTGGGACATCACATGCACTTCAAATAATGACATATTTAAGGAGTTTTTGATTGGTCATAGATGCAACAAGTGCAGGCAAGTGGTGTCATTCATTACATGTTTGAGACATGAAAGGGAACACTGCTGGGAAGCTTCACTTATGAATGTGACAAGTATTCTGTTTCCCAAATAAATTTATTGACAAGCCCCGCATTTTTATCACATTTTAATTACTACCCCATTGCCATTTTTCTTCATTCACACTATCCTCACAGGCTGGTGCAGCCAAGGAAATTGAGGACCGTCAGAAGAGGGAGCTGAAGAAGTTGCAGCAGATGGATCTTAGTCAGTACAGCATCAAGGGTTCCGAGTCGGAGTGGAAGAGCGCTTTGGAGCAGCCTGGCAAGCAGCTTGTCAGTATAAAGACGTACGTGTTGTGCAACATATTTGGCGAGCCCTTCTGCCCGTTGTTAATACTATGTCTGCATGAATGCCATACCTAATGTGTGGTATTCATTGTGTGAAGACATAATAGTAGAGCTGTTCGCGAGAACGGCAGCAAGATTTATTTCGGTGAAAACATCATTTGTGGAATATTTTATATTTTATAGAAATATACTTTTTTCACATAACATCTTGGATGTACAAGATGGGCCATGAACTTGCCATCTTAATGGTGCTTATGTGCCTTAAAGATAAACAGCTGCTGACAACCTGCCAAAGGACATTATGTGGGATATTTTATACTTCGTAGAAATATATATATACTGTATACATTTTTTTGTAGAACATCTGGAAAATACGAAATCGATCATGAACTTGCCAACTTCAATGGTGTTCATGTGTTTTTAAATGCAAAATACTGCTGACATTTTGCCAAGTGTCATTATGCCAACACACAGTGAAGGAAAGAAAAGCAAAGGGGAAGCTACCTGTTGTGTTGGTTATGAAATGCTAAGGTAAAGGTTAATGAAAGTGGCTGAAAGACAACCGGCTGCTAATAGAATTTTAAAGCCCACCATCCTGTGCATTGCATGCCCAATTCTGTACCAATAGAGATATGGCAATGCCTTATCTGCATCTCTCATAATCATAAGGTGGTTTTGGGACATTAAATCCCACATATCAATCAATCTGCAATTCCTCCTATTTTCGTGTAACTGTACTCAACTGATTGTAATGTTCTTAACTCTTTTTTTTTTTGCATGTGTGCTGGATTAACTACTAGCACATGGAAGACACGTTACAGAAGTAAATTTGGAGGATTTGTTCAGTCGATGCTGTAACTAATGTTACAGTCTATAAAACCTAAATTTCAAGGATGAATTTGTAAGTTTGTACTATCATGCATTCAATTTGGTTGCAATGTTTTCTCCAGGCATGTGTCATGTCAAATGTCAAAGTTACAGTTCTTTTTCCTTTCTTCACTCCATCTTGACAACTTGTCTGTGCTCCCGATGTGCTTTTAAGATATCTTAACGAGCTGGATTGCAACTTTTTTTTCTCCATTGCAGCATCAACAAACGTCCTCAGGAAACGGAAACACAAGAGAAACAACATAAAAAGAAGAAGAAAAAATGAGTGCCTTCATTAGAAGTGGTGTATTCAAATCAGTGTACAGTAAATCATACTAAACCAGCTGCTCCTTCCTGTGTGTTTCTTGCATTGGTGGCATGTTACAAATGAAAGAGTATGAAGCTGGATTAGTTTGATTGGATTCACGTTAAAAAAATAAAAAGTAACAGTGAAAGGAATGCATTGATAAACAATGCAGGTGATGTGGTGTCATGTGTGAACATGCACTTGTGTTTTTTGTCTGATCAGTTGGGTAGCTTAGGACTATCTTACTCATTGTAACCAGTGCTTATTTGTGGGAAATTCGTAACTCCATATTATCGCGATTTCAGTTATTTTTCTTTTCTTTTGATTGTTTCGCAAGTTATCTCTCTCAAGCATGAACCAGCCTGTTCTATCCTTGCGAAAGCATTCCTTTTATGCCCACAGTCGCAGCAGCTGTTCAGGGCCATTCAGATGTCATTATGTGAGAAGTGTCCCTGCACCATACTAAACATCAATGAGTGACATCATTGAACGAGGTACGGATCGCCGTATGCTTGTAAGAACTTCTGTAGTGGTCAGCACGGTTTGTGCCTTGTTGCCTACTCGCTTTGCTTTTTTTTAAAGATTTACCTGCAAGCTAGTAACAGTGAAGTGAAGTATTATGTCTTCATGCTTCATTTTTCTGGTGGCGCTCTGGAGATTAAGTGGTGAGTGTTGGTAATAGCAAATGAATTTGTTGTGTGTAATTTTTTGGTGGCCCTGTAGTGAACATGAAAGTGCAAGAAGTAAAAAAAAAGATATTACCACTAATTATCTATTGATCTCTGCATAATGACTTGTAAAGAAAGTGTGGTACCCATCCTACTAATGAGCAGTTTGTTAAAGGGGTACTTACACAAAAACCTTGGCCTTGCGTTTTTCTGCTGCAATGCCTTGCTGGGGGCCTGTTAGTCATGACAGGACACATCGTTTGCGGCAGCACGCGACAGATAATTAATTACAGGCCCCTCATTATCAATCGGTTTTGGTTTGAGAGAGTTCCAAAGACTGGGTGCAACTGTCGCCACCTAGCATGTGCAGCTCTTGACCACGTCAGCACACAAAACTGTGACACACTTCCGCACGGTTTACATAGAGAATTACTTTCGAATAGGAAACGGGACTGGAATGTCGCCAAATGCACAACTTTATATGCGTGCGCCACGGCCACGCACACGCAACCAGCCGCCGAGAAATATAGACTGCGGAAACTAACGCGGCAAAAAAAAAAAAAAAAAAAAAGGCGGCTATGACTTCATCTTAATTTGTTTTGTTGACCGTAGCGTGGTGACGTGAGGGAAATAAGGGGTCCCCGCCGATAGTGTCTATAGCGCTATGGAGTCGGTCACTCACGCAAACTACAAACCGAATTTAAAATACCTTCCAAGCTATATTTGCTGTTGATATCTTGCAGATGATATACGAATGTTCACGAGAATCGACCCTGCAGTCTATCTCGGCCTAGAAATTTTGTGTCAGTACCCCTTTAAAGTACTTCATGTACTTCCTCTCAAAACTGATTACTAAAACGAAGCGTAGTGGTTTCTTAGGTTTATCATCTGAAGTTGAAGCTGCATGTTATTTTTTGTGTGTTTTTTTCAGCCTGCGTTAAACAGCCACCGTTTCACCAGAACTGCAGTAAGATTATTTCTTTTGCTTACAGATCTGTCTTGTGCCGCTGCGTTGTAGACTTATTGTTGCATAACTCGTGAACACGGGCTTGAAACAATCTGAATAAAATACAGCCATAGGTCGGTATTTCCTGATGTGAATGCTAGTTGATGCATTTCTCATTGGGGCTAACTCTTTGTTTGTGAAAAGCACACTGAGGAGCACTACCACGGCACCTCAATTGTTCTTGAAAAGTTCTGCAGAAAACAAAACAAGAAAAATATTTGCTTGTTGCACAGTGTGGAACTTTTTTGTTGCTTGCCATTAATAATTATTGCACCTTCGACCACAAAGGACACTAACTAATAAACACAGATGTTCTGCATAAACTTTCATGTGCTATAGTGTACTGTCGGCATGAAAAGAACATGGGGATGCGTGATAGTTGCGTGAGGAATCTGCTTTGTTCAGGCATAGTCTCCAAAACAGTGCAACTTCTATACTCGTCACATATACAAGTAAGTAAAGTGAACATTTAAACTAATTCATGCTCTATCGGTGAAGGTTGATAACAGTATAAGCTCCACAGTCACACAGCAAAGTAACAATGGTAAATAAATAATAAACTGCAGAACAACTAATGCATCCACCTAAGGCGACTCACAGCCATCTTTCACTGTTGAATTGGACCTTTCTAGAACTCCGTAAGCTTTGTGTACCTAACGTGGCTTTCAGAGGTTACGTATTAAAAGTCTGGGTATGCGAATAGTCGAACTTTCGAATATTTTTCAAATAGTGTTTGCTGTATTTCATTTGATTCGGACCGCAATTGCAATATTCGAAGTATTCGACCTTGCGGAAATAAATGTAGCAGTCTTACATGTCTAGGAGAAACGAAAATCCGCTCGGCAGCGGTGTCATGAGTGGTCTCCATTGGCTGTGTTACAAGTTACGTCGTTCCCAAGCACACGCGCCATTGGCCGCGTTGTGAGTGACGTCGTCGCAGCCGTGGCGCGGAGCCCACGCGCAACAGTTTCTCCTGAGACCTCCCTGCCGAGTTGGCTCGCGATGTGAGACGCTTGCAACGCGGCGTCAATGTGATCATTGCGGGAGCGCGTTCTCCGGGGCGAACGCTGCTTTCGGCGGGTTATCCAGCGGCACATTGGCTTAAGCTGCCACGTTTGTGACCGCCTGTCGTTCGAGAACAACCACTGTAATTAACGCTTTTCGAAACGCATTTAACCGCTCGTCACATTCCTCCATGACTGTGATCATACGAGACACAATGTGCGCCGTGTCGCATGTTGAATAAAGACTGTGGTAAACCCATGCGAAAGGTGTGTCAAATCTCATTAAGAAGCACGAACATGTAACCGGTAATTGTGAAACGCTTCAGTGCCACTTCGGGTTGAACCCGCTGCTAAGCACCGGGGCCGCACGTTTCAGCTATCGCGCTGGTTAACCATTTGTACGGAGTGCTGGGGCGGTGATATTTAATAACCGAAAACAAACATGACGATAAATCGGCGTTATGACAAATCGACCTCTGCATTAATGCAGGACGTCATCCACCTAGCTTCATTAATTTACAAATGGTAGCAGATGGCATGTGCGGAGCTTTCCCGGACGGGGGGAGGGGGGGGGGATCTTAAAAGGAAAGAAAAGTGAGCCCCGTAACTGTCTCTCAGGGGGAGGACACCTCAACAGTAGCTCACGTGGGATGGAGGTAAGGAGTGATTAAAAGAATAAGATTAAAAGGTATAGAGGGAGAGGAAGGAGAGAGCGAGGCGCAGGGCCAGCGAGAGACGGAAGATAGGGTGGCTAGTAAGGAGACGATAGGAAAGATGGACACGGTCGCAGGAGTCCGAGGACGGGGCACCACTCGGCGAGAGCTCTTGTCGGCATCAGGAGATGGCGTAGGGCAAGCCCAGTCGGCCAGAGCTGCGTTGTCGTCGGGGATCGCGGGGGCACAACCAATCGGCACGAAATCCAGAGAGCGAGTCCTCCCGGACGGTCCGATACCGATGCGTAAAATGGCCGTCCATAGTTTCGAGTAGCAGCGGCCGCGGGTGACGCGATTCGTTGCTTGCGATGGAGCACTTTGCGGGTTTTGTAGTGTTAGCTATACACTGGCCTCGCTGAGCTAATTTCGCGTGGCACTGGTCAGCGCATGCGCAATGATACTCCGCCGCCGCCGCCGCCGGTGTGCGCTTTCCAGAGAAGTGCCGTCATAGCCTTGGTAGACATATGGACGCCGACGCGCGCGCCTTCCCTGTGCAGTCGCCATCTGACACTGCGCTGGAGCCGCTTGATAGCGCCTCTGACTGGCGTTTGCCACTGTGGTATAGCCATGGAGAAGGAGAGTGCAAATGCTGCTCAACGGTGCAGTAGAGCGGAGAAGCTTAACTCATCGGATACCGAAGTAGTTGCCCGGCAAAATAAATATACATGTGCCACATAATACGTATACCGTGTGTGTGTCATTGGAACAGCTGTAAGCATGATATCTGGAAAGCTAAGAATAATCAGTTGAACCTTTGCTAACGCTACGTATGTCCTGGCATAGCTGAGCTAAGCCACTGCCATTTTTTCGCTTTCGCATATCCACTAGCGCGATGTTCTTGCCCGCAGAGTCCAGATTTGTCTCGTAAATCGGCGCCGTGAGCAGAGTTAGGCCTAGCCACGACTCCGAGCATTAAGCTCGGTCGAGGTGGGCGTGACCGCGGTGTCTGATGTTTCTAAGTATGTCATGCTCGATCGCTTCATGTAATGGTCTTCGTTACGAGGCCCGACGTGCTAAGGAGCACGTCGGGCATATTGTTATCTGATGTTCCGCGTTCAGTTGCCAAACGAAAACGTAGTTATTTTCTAAATGGTCGCCAACCCGTGAACGAGTGAACGGCGACAGCCGTGACCTCGCGATGCGCAAGCAGCAGACGACGCTTTCTAAGAGCGAGTGTCGAACCAACGACGAGGCGTGCTGTAGTATTGTCACGGGTTAAGTAGATGCCTGAAGATGTCGACGACGAAGTGCTGAACGTGACCGTGCTCGGACTGCAGCAGCGTTGTACGCTTTAGCTCGCCAGTACATTCGCCAGTACGCATTTGCTCGCCAGTGTATACTTTATTCCTCGTAACATCATTGGTGGAAGGTGCGGGGTACCACTCGCTATACAGCCCAACGAGCTGGATCTTCGCAGCGGACGGCGCATTGCAGCTACCACGATGACCGACCAGGCTACTCAATGTCAACAAGATGCGTCAGCCCCGCAGCCGATCGTTGTGGTGCAACCTCGTGACCCAGGCCCATTCAACGGCACAAGGGGCATAGACGTCGATGACTGGCTGGTTCTATATGAGCGCGTCAGCAGCAGCAACCATTGGGATCCGACGCTTATGTTGGCGAACATCATCTTCTACTTGCATGGCACG